CAGTCATTGCTGAATGCATTAACCGGGTCACTCTGGCCCTGGTATCAGGTACACGTGTGTGTGTGTGCGTGGTGGGGGGCATTTGGGGGGAGCGGTAGTACAGTGGTTATCGCGCTGCGCTGTGGACCCGGTGTCCCGAGTTCGATTCCCATTCACGACCAACACCGGTGACGATTATCTGAACCGTTCCTGGTCCTCCCCTAGGTCGACTCGGTCTAAAATGAGTACCTGGCGCCGTGTGTAAACATCGCCACTGGGGAGACAAAGGTGGCTGGGCGTGGTTGCTGGCCACCTACCCCGTTGTGTGCCATGCCGGCCTTCATAGGGGCTCGCTAAAAGCACTTGTCCCAACAGTCTGTTAAGGCTATACAGGGGATGTTTGTCTTTTGGTGGGCACGTGCTGTGCTTGTCCATTTGCGTGTTTGAGAGTGACAAGTCGGGGAGCTGAAGCGTAGTGGTTAGCGCAAAGCACCACCAGCCCCCCTTCACTGCCAACGTCAGTGGTTGATATCTGAACCTGTATTGGGTCGACTCAACCTGAAACGAGTCCCTGATGTGATGTTTAGATATCAACACGGGGGAAACAAAGACGGCTGGGCATGGTGATGGCCGCACCACCCCATTGTGCGCCATGCCTTTAATAAGTGGTCGCTAACAGCACGTGCCCCAACAGTCTATATCACTCTACGTGGGATCTTCGCGTTTGATATGCAGGGAAGTCTTCTTTAAAGTAATTGGGAACACGTGCTTGTTCAGGAGGTTTTAAGTGCATGTAGGGGTCGGCACGGTTTGGCTCAAACCACCAAACCGCGGTTTGAACCGAACCAAATCGGTTTGGTTTGGCTCTGTTTGAACTGGTTCGGTTTGGTTTGGGGCTACGAAAACCGACTCGGTTTGGCTCGGACAGGGTGGAACCGGCTCAAACTAGTTTGGTTGGTTGTAAAGGCCGAGTACAGCAATATCAAGGACATGATGACGGACATTCTCAACCAGCGCTACCCAGCGTTGACGACGGACGCGGCGCTGAAGGCGGCGCCGCGTGGCGGCATTAACATCCTCTTTGACATGGTCTACGCGCCCAACGCTCACGACGGCGCCGCCTCCGAGGTCGACCGCTTCCTGCTTGAGCCGACTCAGGACCTGAGCATGGACGTCGTCGAGTGGTGGAAGCTGTACGGCGGCAAGTACCCGCGCCTACGACGCGTGGCCCTCGACTATTTGCCTATCCCGGCGTCGTCCGTGCCCTCCGAGAGAGCAAACTCGGCCGCCAAGCGCTCCTTTCTCGACCGACCAAACCTGCACAAGTGCACGTTCAAGGCCGAGATGTGTGTGCGCTCGTGGGCGCGGATGTTGCCTAGTGTTGGGGTTTCACTGCCATTGAACTACCACACTGCGTTCAAGGACATTGGGCGTGCCAAGCTTGAGGAGATGGCTGTGGACGACATCGTCGTCCAGTACTTGCTAGTGAATCTCAATATGAAGAAAGCCTGCGTAGAAATTAGCGATTAATACACTTGATATTTGTATTGAATGCGAATATTGTTTGCCGCGCATCTTTTCGGTTCAAGCCAACTCAAGAGGTTTGGTTTAGCTTAGTTTGGTTTGGTTTTGGTTTGGTTTGGTTCAGTCGTCGCTGGTTTGGTTTGGTTTGCTCAATTTGAAACCAGTTTGAGTCGGTTCAAACCGTGCCGACCCCTAAGTGCATGGTATTCAGTAATGGGTACCGTAGTAGTTTTCCGAGCCCAGTTGTAGATGTCTGCCTGTCTATGGAGCTGTGGTGCAGTATTTAGCACACTGCTCTGGTACGTGTGGCATTCTCTTTGTACTGTTCGTCTTTTGGCGTTCTCTGGTCTGACACTTGTGAGACTAGGCCATAACGAAGGTTGTCTCTGATGTAGGCCAATCAGTTTCAAAGACAATGCATCATATATTATATCAGAGCAAGTTTGTTTGCATGTTCACCACGAGTACGAATGGTTAATGTGGACTTGATTCCTTGCAAACGGTATCTCTTTGGTGTTTTAACATCTTAACGGCTGTTTTATTGCCAGAAAGGGTCAAATCTACTGAAAAAATGTCATACTTTAATACTGCAAAAAAGCTCCCATGACACACCACCGCGCTATTAACATGTCAACCAGAGTTTGATTTCCAGCCACGGCTAACACCAGCGGCAAGCGATATTTCAACCATCCTGGACCTCCCCTCCCCCATTCACTAACCTGCACTACATTGACCCAGAATGGAGAAGTGTGGTCAAGCAACAACACCCTCGACCGACATGGCCAGTCGTGGATTCATAAAGTTTCGTAACAAATGCGAGTGTGTGCTGATTTAATGTAATGCACACATCATGTAACTTCCTAAACACGGGTGTCCTACGAAGAGTAGTTTTGCAGAGGCTTTGTTTATGACTATCTTAACAATCCCCTCTGAAACGTTTCCAAGCAAAGCACGCATTTTTCACAAATGCCCCTTCGTTTTTAGCCATCTACCATACATATCCACACATGGCAATACCTTTCCACCTGATGTAAAGCACCCGGCCTAAAAATAATACATGTATGCCTGACTCAAACAAAAATCACATGTTTTCCTTTGTACGTGGTCTGTAGAAAGAACAACAACACCTGTTTGGAGGATAGTTATGGCACAATGATAAATAGTGTTTACCTTATTAGAGAGCTCAATGACGTACACATTTCCTTTAACACTGATTCTGTAGTGTAGTACAGCGCCAGTCCTGATTGGGAACAACAATGACAAGTCCAAAAAGTTAGTACAGTAAATTATCGCTGGCCTTCTGAAAATGTGAATATCCCAGGACAAGGAGTTTAGGTGGCGCTATTGTTATACGTTGTTGGTATTCTAGGCAAACTGTTTGGGCAAGTAAGGGGTTATAAAATGCATTCCAGTGATTTTTTTATGTAGCTAAGCTGGAACAAATATATGCGTTTGAGACGCTAAAACAGGTTTATTCAAGTTCAGTATGAAAAGTATCTCGCAACCCCTGGGGGGTGTGAGATACTTTTCATACTGGAGTAGGAGACATGCCTGTTTTAAGGTAAATAATCGAAACGTAAAATTAAGCACGGGCACGTAAGTACAACTGCTTCGTTTTATAAAACCGATGTATTTGTTAACATAAAAAATTACGATTGAGAAACAAAGGGGTGCAAGGCTGCAGCAAAGGTTAAGAACCACTGCCCTAAGCAAAACATATTCTTTGGGGGCCCCACTTTAAATTGATAAAATCCTAGCAAGATAACAGAAGAGACATAGACAACGAGATACGAGACGCAGTAAGATAAGAGAAATGTAGACAATAACATACGTGTGTAGTGACATGGAACGGGTGACTATGGCGTGTAGCGCTGGTTGCTGGCAGAGAAGGGGATCTGCTGTTGTAGCAGCCTTGTCTGCCAGCAGGTCACGTGATATGCCGGAGAGAGATGTGGGGGCAAAGGTGACGTGAGGTAAAGCCCGGGAACCTTCTAGTAGATTCTAGAAGGAGGGCGTGGCCGAGGGCGAAGCGAGGCCACGCTGGGTGGATAAAAGGGAGACCCCGACCAAGACTCTGGGTTGTTGTTTGGAGAGGAACCTGTGGTGCTACAATAATCTTCGTCACCGTCTTCGTCATCGTCTTCACCTCTTCAGCGTTGTTGGTCAGGCAGCCTGTTGCTGTCCTGACCGAAGTGCAGTTATTCCCTATGCCTGTGAAGCTTATAATAAAAAGAGTGCCTCCTACTACTAGTGTCTCTGAAGTGATTCACTACACATGTAGTGAGATGACACAAGAAGATGAGAATAAGATAGAGAAGTATTAATTGGCTTTTTATGTTCATTAGCTTGTTATGCATTATATGGTTTGACTTAAAGATATTATGAATCCGGGACCACTGAGCTTCTTAGGGACCTAAGCTTTTATTTTGTTTGCTTATGCCAAGTGCCACCACTGGTGTAAAGCTAAAGCATTGTGTTTCAACATACATTCTAGCTAACACAGTATTTGTATATGAATCACTGAAATATTTCCATAGCAGACCTTCAACTCCGATAGAACAATGTGAACTTTCATTAACAAAACAATGGTTGAAGTGTTCTACTCAGATGTTTATTTTAATTGGGGGTCAGTTCGAGGGGGGTACGCTTTGTGATTTACGTAGAACGATTTCAATCCGTCCAGGTGGAGAAAATGGTGGAATGTGCGGCTCGCAATCGGAAGGTCGCAAGTTCAGATCCTGGTTAAGGGTCAACATAGTTCCTCATCCTGACGAGGTTGATACAATTAGCGTCTACTTTGCAGAGGCATCAACAGTGGTTTTCAAATGGAAATACTTGTGTCCACCGTAGGAATGTGGAAGCTCCTCTGCTGGCTTAGGTTTATAGGCACGAGATTAATGCCGCCCCATGCCAAACTAAGCGGGAAAACCACTTTGACTTCTGTATTTTTGAATACCATTTAGAGAGCTGTTTCTCAAGCAATGAGATTGATAAATTAATCAATTATCCATTATCAATCCACTGCTGTCCACTCCATCACCATCTAACATCATCTTGTGATGTAATAATCCACTTAGGTACCTGCACACAAGCTAATTTCATAGTTCCATTTCCACGGGAAGCACCCTTTCAGGTGCGTGCCCTCCCGTGCCTGCCACTCCGTAATTATTCTTGACCATCGGCTATCAGCATTAACTCTATTACTGTGAAGGGTCCATAACCAGCTTCATCAGGCGACAGCCAGATTTGTGGCTGTCGCCTGATGAAGCTGGTTGTAATTACTGGCAAAACGTCGTACTCAAACTGTAAATGGTGTGGATTTGCTCTCAAACACACCGTTGTGCTGTACTAGTAACGAATTGGTAGGTTCTGTTTACGTGACAAAGCTTACTAATTGGCTGTCGGGTGGTGGCGGGTTTAACGACACATTTATATTTACGCAATCTAACCCAAAACAAACCTATATTATGGATGAAATTGTTCGCTAAAGCCTACGTGTTAAACTATTAAAGGTGTATGATTTAGTAAGCGCTTAACACTCGGTCCGACTTGCAACAAAATGCCACGACGGATTGTTTCACAATGCAGCCTCCCACTGCGTCATATAGTAGAGTGACGCACAATCGAACAGGTGTTGTCTAACCTGTAGGAATGGGTGTTCGTTCCACACAGACACGGCGTAGTCCGTCTGATTGCTTCCTGGCCGGAGGAGCAGATTGCCCCAGTCCGGATGCTCTTGCAGCATCTGCTCCGCCTTGTCCCGAGAAACGTCATAGTAACAACTGCAAAGAGAGACACAGATGCCCCCGTGAGCTGTCTTGCTCAAGAAAGAATGTTGGGGTGAATGATGTTAGCAAGGAATTAATTATGATATGGTACATGTGCCTAGCCATTTTGTTAGTCCACTGCTGGATGAGGGTCGCCTCGTGCTGTGCGGATCGTGGGGGTTGTTTGACCATACTTCACCAAGCCGGTCAGTGTGGGTTGATGGAGGGGAGGTGCATTGAAGTACATTACAGCAATTGTGTTCTTTTTAGCACTGCCCTCTGCTGCCCACCACGTAGTACAACACGAGGTTGTAAATGGCTCATTAAGTCATGGGTGGGGTCACATCACACCTGGCCGACTTTGTTTGCATTGGTGTATCTCACCAGAGATTCATGTTAACTCATAGGACGCCCAGGCTCGACTCGGGATATTAATTGCAAAACATGTAATAATTAACCCAAACCCCTTCCCTCATCCTGTCCTCCCCCACTGCCGATAATGAGATTAATTGCCATAATTTAAATCAAGAACGGATTAAATATATTCTTTGGGTCTTTCTAAAGACTTTCTTAAGACCCAATGAATATGAATTCCTGCAATCACGAAAGCTTTAAGTCAAGATTTAATGAATGATTTGTTTATGTTGCCTGTGCTATCTCGTTTATATTGCCCGATTCCCTGATTTTCTCGTTCTCTCTTTTTCATTTTATTAGCCAAAACTTAAGTTAACGTATAATTTGCATACACTTTTCGGATATTGTAAATAATCGACTTTTTGACACGCAGTTTGATGCATGTATTGTGTGCATAAGAATCGCATTTTCATCGATAAATTGTCAATTTTCTAACTACTGCCACTGGGGTCCCTATCCGGGAATTAAACCCGGGTCTTGTACACGATACATTCCCAGCGATTATACGTGCACGTACTGCGCAAATCACAGACTTTCACAATGCAGGAAAAATAAAAAGAGACTGCCAATTCTGTGGAAGTATATAAACATCACAGCAGTAAAAGAAACACGCTTATTGTCGGCTGTTCTGTTTATTACACACTTTGCATTGCATCATAACGGCAAGATGTTGGACGACGGGATTGGCCGTGGTGGACAACTACGCAAAAATCATCACTTTCAGCAATAGCACCGCCTTACAAGGGCTTTTCTTCTGAGCAAAACTCAAGATGCTCCTCGGGATTTATCCCTCAGAATGATGTACTCTACTGCTCTGAAAGAGGGTCAACTACCTGAAAGATCAACATATTATATTGCAGGGTGGCCCCAAAGTGAGTTTATTGAAATAGACACATTATTATACGTAGTATTTGACCTCTTTAAACAACATTTTGGGCCACACTGTATTTTTATGTTGTGAGGCAGTGCTGTTGGTGTGTTTGTTTTAGTTGAAAAACCATTGGATAATTTGTGTTTTAATGAAGTAAAAAACAGATTTGCTTGGTCAGTGAAGAAGGCATTTCTCTGGGAAGGATCGTTTTGCATCTAAACTAGGGTTGCCACCTCTGAGGTAAAAAGAAAAAAAGAAAACCTCAAAACGCTGGGACATATCATGGGAAGAAGAACATCTCACAATAGCAGAAGAGTGAAGAACTATGTGTCAGTGCATTGCTTTGATTACTGGCGTTTTATTATACAGCTGACCAAAAACGGGACTTTTAATGTCACGTGAAGACTTACAGATTTCCATAGACAGCTACCTGGGAAAAGCACGATAGGTGGTAACCGTAATCTGAGCAGATATATTTGTGCAGGCTTTAAGATGGACGTACCTGGGAAAGGATAATTTGTTATTGTGCAGCGCCGGTCCCTGCACCAGTACGGGTGTCAAAACGCTGGCTCTCGGTATCTGTAAAGCATCTGGATGAAGAATCCTGTGATCCGGTGGTTGGGGTGGCATCGGGCACTCGTTTGGCTCCGACCACCCCTGCCGATCCTTCTCCCTTTCTATGATCTCCCTCAATTGCTGCATCTGCCCTGGGAGCAGGGTGATGTCTCTCGGGATGATGTACTGATAATACATGGGAAGACACATCGCCAAGGTTACGACAATTCAGACAAAGTTACGATGGCAGATGCAGACTTCAACATTTTTATTTAGATCATAGATACATAATTAAGAGTTAGAGATAAAGGGGTAGCCAGATGGCTCCGCCCAGAGACACTGAGCCAGCGCTGCTGAGATCCTAGATTCGAATTCGGGGGTTTCTGCCACTTTTAATTAAAGTCGGTTCTCGAGTGTAGCAAAGTGATGGTCTCAGCCGAGTCAGCAATAACTCCACAAACAACAATCACATTAAAGTTGGTTTAGCATTTAATTTGGATTATTTCCAGGTCCGAATCACACACCAATCTCGTGGCAGCGTGTGATTGATTGATTTTATTTCTTGATGCGTGGAAGAAACATTCAGCCCTAAGCTGTTTACAAGAATGACCCGCAGAGGACCTTGGTGAAAAAATGGGATGTTGCAGCATAGAAGTCATAATGCACATCAACACTGAAGCACTAAGTCCATTCGCCACAAGTGAAGGAATGTAGTGCACATCAGAACTATAAACACCGAATCGTGCAAGGTTCAGGAACCACATCTGCAACCGAAGGGATATCTTAAATCAAGAGATGAATTTAAAATATCCAGGGAAGGAATTTAAGTCAACACAACAAAGTCAGATAATTTCAAAAGTGAGGGGCAGCAACAGGAAATTATTTTCTTGGTTCTTTCGGTAAAGTCACGTTGACTTTCCGACAGACCTGTTCTTCACCTGAGGACGGCTGCTTGCATTGTGGCCGAAACGTCGTGAGAATTATTTTATTATATTTAATTTGTAGTATTTTATTACTTCCCTTATACGTGACTTTACCGAAAGAACCAAGAAGATGAATCCCTGCAGTCACGAAAGCTTTAAATCGAAATTTAAGGAAATGATTTGTCACAGTGAGTCGTTCTCACGCTGGGTACATTAGGGCGTAGAGAGGAGCTTCTCAGGCGACCGCAATGAGGGCTGTAGTCATCAAAGGTGGTCACGGAGGTGATCAGCTGATGTGTTCTGGAGTATTTTGAGAATGATGTCCAATGACGCTTTTTTCCGAGTATGAAGGGGAGTCAGTTTTGTGTTCAAATACAAATCACAGTGTGCCCCCTCTTGCGCGATGAGAAAAAAAGGGTCTATTGAAGAGTGTTTCAGAAGTTCTGGGAATATGTCTTGCACAACCGTTTTCAGAGCAGAATTCTGCGTCATTACCAATTTTATTGTCTCAAGATAGACCACCAATATCACACCATGAATAAAACTGGAAGGCTCAACTAATAAAACGAATTTATTAAATAAATATCACCTTTATACGTAAGTGTTGATTCAATTAGTATATTCACAACCTGGAATAATATTGAGCTTTCCTTCCATGCGTCTGTCCATTGGCTCAAATGAGGTTACCTTGACTAAAAGAGATAATGGTCTCCACTAAATAAATAAAAACTTCCAGGGATGTACAATTAACGTGTTCATTATTGAGTTTAGTGCAGCTGCGTTCATCACACAAAGCCCTACCCGAGGCAACACCCGTTCCATGCACGGTAAAGGTGGCTGAGTGGCCAAGCACGTAGAAAAGCTTCATAATCGTAAGTCCTTCAGCTCCAAAGTGGCGATGCAGCGCATGTAATTTAACTACCACACGGATTTATTTTCAATTATCAATATATTTTTTAAGGAAATACCTGAGTTTTCATTATTTTTACGCAGTCAATACTTCAATAGGCCATAATCCCACACCTCGCTTAGATGTTCCTGCCCATATAAGCTCTCTATGCTGACTATCTATGCGAGACAGAAACATAAGGAGTTGGGTCTTGGGCCAGACTCATCGGGTCGGGTGGTGGAGAGTTACGACACATTTATAAATAACGCGATCTAACCCAAAAACGTTTATTATGAATAATATTGGTCACGAAAGCCTACGTGTTAAACTGACATAGGGTTAATATGACGTTTAAAAAAGGAGAAAAGGACACAGAAGGAGGCAATGACACACAATAATTATAACGTTTCTATCCATTCTATTGTTATTAACGGAGCAATGGATGATGAAAGGTGCAGAGAGGCGGTAATAAGTGGCATGACGAGAGGGTGCTTCGCTGGCAGGGGTTGACAGAAGAGGAAGTCGAGGGGATTTTATGGAGACAAACCATGACTTAATACTTGCATGGTTATTCTGCAGTTAATCAATAATTCTGCAATAAAAAAGTGTTCTGCAGGCAACAGTGGTGTAATTGATTTATGTATGACTTGGCGAACCTACCCTGCATTAATGAATGGACGAACACGAACTGGCAAGCCACAGCAGATTACGCGCATCTAAAACAGCTCCTGAAGGCCCACTAGAATCAATCTGGTGAACTAAAGAGGTAGGTTGAGAGCAAATTTGGCATACTTTTGGAAATCTGAACTGGATAATAAAACGTAACATTGCAATGTGCCGAAAAATAACATTAATAATATTATTACGCGTATGACCTAATGGACCCCATAATATGGTTCAGAAGCATCGTTACATTCATGAAAAAAAATTTGAACAAAAAATGAAAATATTCTTTGGTTCTTTCGGTTAAGTCACGTCTAAAGATAAAATAATAAATTAAATAATAGCATAATAGCATATTACGACGTTTCGATTGCAACACAAGCTGATGATGATTGCTTGTGTTGCAATCGCAACGTCGTAATATGCTATTATTTAATTTATTATTTTATCTTTAGACGTGACTTAACCGAAAGAACCAAAGAATAATCCCTGCAGTCACGAAAGCTCCAAAATTAAGATTGGAAAAATGAAAAGTGAAGGGGAACAACATGCCCCGTTGGTCATGGCGGTTGTTTGGCCATTATTCACTTTGCTGGTCAGTGTCGGTTGTTGAAAGTAGGAAGCATTGACGTGGGCATATCGTACGGTACAGGACAAACATGATTATTGATGCCTCAAAGGAGAGGACACACGCAAGAAACATAATAACCATAAAATAAATTCCAGCCCCTTTGTCAATTCCATGCTGGATGAAGACCACCCCTTGTCCTGTCAGTCGTGGAGGTTGTTTGACCATACCTCACCACACTTTTTAGTGTTGGTTTGTAAAGGAGGCCTAGGAGCAGTTTAGATACATCACTTTCCAGTGATTTTTGCCTTCACCAGCAATCAAAAAGTCATGTGGCTGGGTTAAAATAGAAAAATTCCTAGATTTGCATAATCTCATATGAGCACAATTGTCTACGTATGATGAAAAGAAGTTCACATTTTGCAGGCAGACGACTGGTTTCTGCATGATTAAATGTAAAGAAAACATTTTATTTCGATTTACAGCTTTCGTGACTGTAGGGATTCATATTCGTGGTTCTTACGGTAAAGTCACATAGAAGAGAAATAATAAAATAATAAAAATAAAACAATTACATTCTCACGACGAAGACATTTTCTTAAAAAAAATTTGCTGTGGTTTTCACACCTGATGATGATTGCTTATGTTGCAATCGAAACGTCGTGAGCATTTTATTGTTTTATTATTTATTCTTTTATTATTTCCCTTCTACGTGACTTTACCGAAAGAACCAAGAAAGCATTTTATGCCATAGTCTAAATGGTGTTGTTTGCCCGATCATTATAGCTCACAGTTTGAGATTAATTTTCAACATTGAGATATTTTGTCTATTTAAAGCATCTGAATAATGTTAGTGGCGTCCCACAGTTTTACAATGGCGAGTGCTAAATAACCCACGCATGATCTATGGTCATTCTACATGTCTCATAACGTACTTTTAGATTGCCCAGAGGAAATATTGTCATATTAAATGTAAAAAATATAGCAGTGCTTTGAAGGGAACATTGTATAATGTACTATCCTTTGTAAAAATACAATTGAGTTCTTTGCACTGATGCTACTAATAAACTGTGAGTAATAGCAATGATAATCCTTTACAGGTGAATGTCAATATGCTGCTGGATCAAGGCCTGATCATGGAGGGCCAATAGCTGGCTCAGATGCCACAACATCCCTGATGTTACCTCTTGCCAGGAATTGAACTCAAGTTGCTTACGTTCTTCACGCAGTGGGCTAACGACTGCACCACTGCTCCTACCCCAAAGACAATGACAAATGCAGTGTTACCATCTGAGTGGTTTTGTCACTAGATCTAGCATCTTTTTGTATTTCCATATCGAAATGGTTTTTCTTGTCAAAGTGACTGGCGACAAATCTAGCGACTTCCTGGAATATGATGCATATTTAAGAGCTATTGCAGACTGTAGGAATAATTATGTATTAATGTATTACTTGTGAAGGGCTTCATCAAATAATGGATGTATCATGGGTGATGCCTGATCAGTTCACTATGTTTAATACTTGGTAAATTGTCTCGTGACATTTTTGACAACGTTAGAAGGATTATCTAGTCAGAATCAGAATATGTATTTATACTGGAGGAATCCGATGAGCCATGAAGCTCTTTTCACAGATGTCCAGAAATCACTAGTGACACATACGTGACTATATGATGTTTGTTTGATGTCTCCCTACTGTAGGCGTTGGCCACACTGGAAACAAAGTTAGGAAATACGGTACATTCATATTAAGCAACATTCAGAATCAGTGTGCTCATGCATTGCACACGTTTTAAGTTGCTTACACGCTGCTCGCATACTTTCTATGGAATAGGAACGTTGGGTCCTTAATTGTTTTGTTCCCAAACAGAGTGGGACTTGCATTCCAGTAACCGCCGGTTCAATGTGTCCATAGTGCGTCACTTTAAATTATGGGCACATTTTTTTACATCCCCACCGTAGTAGATTGCCATGTATTGTGTGTGGTGTGAGGTAAGTTGTGTGTATTCCCACCACTTTCAAAACGTCTGGACAGCATCGAAGAGTCGACCAAAGAAATATCCTCAAGAGGGGCTTCTCTCGACTGATGCTCCTGCTGTTGTGGAGTGACTCATGCAGCCAGCTATGGCTGCAGAGTTTGGTAGTACATGTTGTTTATGTCGTTTATTGTGAAAATTCGGTCACAGTTCCTATGATCACTGTTTTATTGCTTTTATGGCTTTATTTTGGTGATTTTCGAAAAGTTTTTTGGTTTGGCCATGTTTGTTTGTTGTAGTACAGAGTTAGACTGATGGCCTTAATCTAAGTTGTCTTGTGGTTGTTGTTGTTTGACTTGCATCCCACTGGGAATTTTGCACACAGTGTTGGTGTACGGTGCTTTTTCTGCAATATTTTGCTGTCTTTTCTTGGATTTTCTGTTTGCGCATAGTCACTTTAAGATGTTTTCTTGTTTATGTTTTTGTTTTCTGTTTGTTGCGGTTGCACCCGATTCAAGAGCCGAAAAGCTCACAGGGCTATACCAAATAAATGAACTTGAACTTGAACTAGAGCTTCCCCAGTGGAGGGGCTTCTGCCAACAGTTGCACGAGTAAGAAATTGCTGCGCTGCGCCATCACCGCGTGTTTTCCCCTCTAATTGTTGTTTCTTTCCTCCTCCACAAGTATTTCATTCCCAAGGCAATGCGGTACACACAAAGGATATGACAGTGGGTTGACAATAGCAACAAACACAGTACGGATTGCAGTGCAATGGAAACCTGTCTAAACCGCGTGTTTCAATAAACTCTTCAACCCTGGTGTCTTTCTAAGTTCTGATATCCCTGTAGGAAGAGGAGGAGGAGGAGAAGGATGGGGGGGCTAAATGCCCAAATGAATGCTCTTAAGAATCAATGCCCACTGAAGGAGATGTACTGAAGGGGCACCATGTTGTTTCCCCCTCTAATTTAATGTAAAAAAATAACTGAATTCAGTAACTCTCGTGCTCAATACAAGTTTTTTTTGGGGCGGTGGTGTTTGTCAATGTTGGCTGACCGGAGGAAGTGCTGATTGCATGTTAATCATTGTGCAAATTGTACACGATTTATTTACATACTGTCCACATGACATTCGCCTCGGCTTGTCGTGACAAGTTGAGCTACGGGAAACAAGTTCGAGTGCGGGTTTTTCCGAGCGTGCACTTTGAAAATAAGCAAAGTAAGATAAATCACATCGCGACCACGAGAATCGCTCTTACACAACGACTCTTTTGCAGATCACCAAACGAAGCTTTGAAACCTGAACCGAGTGGAATTTGTTGTACCCCCCCCCCCCCAAGTGACTATGTTCTAGAGACTACGTAAAAATGTAATCAATAGAACATCATCATTGATGATTTCCAGAGTCCTCAGTTCAGTGCAATACGAAGACGTTACAAATAGTTGGTTTCATCTTATTGTTTTTTTCGGTAAAGTCACGTAGAATGGAAATAATAAAATAAAACGTCCTGAGAATTCTTTTATTATCTTATATGTTTTATTATTTTATTATTTCCATTCTACGTGACTTTACCGAAAGAACCAAGAAGATGAATCCCTGCAGTCACGAAAGCTTTAAATCGAAATAGTTTGGTAACAGAATCCCGAAGGATGGTTCCAACATACCCGACAACTGCGTAAGAGGCCTTCGTCCAGATGTGGATTGACAATAAAGGGCTCTAATTTTATTTCACACACGTACAATATTATATACGACGATATTCGTAAGGCAGTGTTTTTTGGCGACAAAGTGATCTCACCTCTGTCACGGCAAGTATGTATGCCTTCCACATTTCCATAGTTTCTGTGTCCGCCTACAAATCCAAACAGCAAGAAACCGTCAATGTCACACGCTTTATAATGAGAGAGGTGCAAACTTAGTGTGTGTTTTGACAATACTATATGAAGTCAAATATGGGCGTTGTGACCGTCCGAATGCATCGCCATTCTTTCGTCGTTCTATACACACAGATACATACCGCGAAGTTGTGGTGATGTAGCCAGTGGTCAGAATTGCAACACAACATTCTGCCTCGCGTAAATAAAGACTCGTTTGACGAGTTAGCAGACAACGGAAGGGGTTTGATCAGTACACGCTTAGGTATTGATCTCGAGTGGAATTTATTTTACTGATTTTTTTCCGTGTAAATGCTCCCAATGTTATAGTAAATTTGCTATTGGCTGCACGAGTCGCGGATTATATTTGGATATCTTGCAGAACAGTGCAGTCTTGTGTTAGAGAATGGTCCACAGAAGGGGCTATCACAGAGTCACCTCTGAGATCTCTTTGAGTGACCTCTGGTCCACAGAATATAAAGTATCTTTGTCATTTGATCTACAAATGAGAGTAATGATAGGCAAGCCCATATTTTATTACTTCGGAGCTGGTATTTCAGCCAGTCAGTGGTGTCCGGGCTAAGACCATCAACCGACTGTACACGTACATCGGATATGATAACATGTCGCTGCTGTGATTCGAATCTGGAATCTTAGCAGAGCCAAGTTCAGTCCTCTGACCTCTACGCCACCCGTAGACATACTCGAGTGATATGTATATGGATTGACGCACGAGTAATTGCCCCTGGCCTCATCAGACGTGAAATTATGGAATGGGTAATCGAAATCCAAAAAGATTACTCAAAACCCTTGGAAATAGACATTATCTGAAACGTGTAACCCCTGACATCACAGTGCCACCGAAAACGATGTTTATTGAGTTATGTCATTTAAATTCCAAGGATAAAGGGGAAAGAGAGGTTCCTGCAGACGATTACTGTTATCAAAGAATAAAGGTCAACAACCTCAGAGCTCAGGACATTATCTGTGCTCTTAGTGCTTAGCAGCTGTTATCTGTTGATGAGGTTGCATGGCAATAACTCATAATGAAGATGCTGATATTGCGGTTACATATCGAGCTTTCTGTGTCAGTTGTACTCACATAATTAGAAAGAGATATGATTAGAAAGAGATAGAAACAAAAAAATCACGAGACGTTTCCGTGACAAAAAAAAATCATGACAATAGCGTTCCCTGCTTGTGTGTCTTGGCCAATGTCGGTAATATACATTCTACGTTGATGAGAGAAGCGTGTCCAGGAGGACGACCACCATGATGACGGAGCGATGAGATCAGTGCATGTACAGAAATGAGACGGATGGTAGCAGCACTATACTGTGAGGGATGCCGACGGCCGTGCTTCAGCGGTGGATAAACGTGCGACGTTGGGTCAACGTTGGGATGCGGTTAAAACCAGATGGAGCAACGTTGGCCCAATATTCCCTGTTAACGTGGCAGTGATTGATGATGTAGGTTAATGATGTAAGTTATATACCCACGTGCTTTATGTATACATCTCTTATCTCGTCTATATCTGGTATCTGTTCTGACTACAGCTTTATCCTATCTGGTATAGAATATCTCTTTTGAATACTTATTTTTCTCTAATACAGGGCAGGTGCTAGGGGCGTGCTAGGGTGAGCCCAGCACCATCAAATGTCCCTTTGGCCCACCCAAATTCACTTTCCTTCGTGATGAATCACTGTTACGGTGGCCACTCACTCAACAGCCCTACTGCCCCCAACCCTCCATCCGAGAGAAGCCGGGCCTGCTTTTATAACGTTGATCCTTACCCACTTATCGATAGTTCAACGTTCATGTGCCATTTTATTCAGACACTGTGTGTTATCTTGGTGTGATAAATCGGAATTTATAGGTAAATAGATATTGCTTTAATTTCGTATTTAATTTATATTTAGTGACTTGCTTACCTTTTTCTCTATTTTGAACTATTATCGTTTTATTGTATTGTTTGTTGCAACTTTCTGACCCGCCCACACTGGAGTTCTGTGAAAAAAGAGCTCCATAGTTCATCGTATTCCTTCAGTCTAAATACATATTCTGATTCTAATTATGATTCACTTCTGAATACATCACTCTCATATCTCTCCTGAATACATTCTATGTCACCTCTTATCAATTTTTGTTTATGATCTACCTCTCAAAAGATCTTCCTCTCATCTGAAGAAGTCCACCTCACTTATATTTCTCTGATAAATGCACGCCACGTCTTTCTTAAATGTGTCTCTTCTGAATACATCTCAAACCTATCTTGGCTTTAGATACTCATTGCGTTGTCTGTGGACAATGGCCATTCATGGCATGTTAGTCACACTGACCCTCGGGCTGTTGCTCTTTATCTGCAAGTGTGCAGGCTTTTGGTTAATATTTTAGGGGTTTTTGCAGGTCCTCAGTGCTAGAGAAAAACGTAACTTCAACTGGCTCGCCCTTTCAGCGTTAAACATTGACGACAATAAAAGGTCACAGTCGCAAAAACAGCTTGAATTATTCACAGATGACAGTATTATCAACCGCTTGTTGTTACCTTCAACTTGAGCTCAGTGGTGGATGTTTTGAGCTTCATCTTACAGGATGACGTGCCACGCATCATAGAGCTGACCATATGGAATACAAGTGGCTTCGCAAGCGGTATTTTTTCTGTGTACTGCAAGCAAAAAAAACAACAGAAAAATGTTAGTTTTATCCGACATATGGAAATGCGTGGGGTATTGAATAATATCCCACAATTATCACACCGGACAGACGGCATTTAATAAGTCATGAATGATCGATGGTCATAACAATACAATATTCTCATATTGTACAGAGGAAAGCTTGACATTAAATGTTCATTAAATAATACTGTTTTAAAGAAAAAAACCTCTGTGTTGTACTCTATAAAAATACAACGAATCAGGTTATTTTAACAATGAAGTTAATTTAAAAAAAACATAGGTAGTAAAAATGGATATTAATTTACAGCACTTTGTCAGTCCAGTTCACCCCTGGATGAGGGCTTCTCCGTGCCATGTCAGTCATGGTAGTTATTTGACCATACTTCATGCTGGCGAGTGCAGGTTGGTGAAGGGAGCAGTCGGGAGACCGTCCACGACTGATTCAGGCATCGCTCGCCACTGATGTTAGCCGTGGCCAAGAATTACATTTGGGTCACCTTCTCTCCATTGTTTTCATCACCCTCCTTCCACTTCACCAAGCCGCACTGACCAGTGACCAGCATGGTGAAGTATGGTCAAACAATACCCATAACCGACATGGTGTGGAGAGCCCTTCATCCTGTAATTAATTGAAGGGCTCGAGCATAACATGATTATTATCAGCCATAAAATATACATTGCTGGAGGAAAGCACGACTTTTTTTATGCTCATATGCATCTGCAGCTCGCTCCCTCCCCCGCCTTTGCATGATTACTTAATATGTTCTTCCAGGATTTCCTGTCGTCAATTCGCATTAGTTGTTATGACTGTCATCAGCAAATCTGAGATGGCTAAAATCCTCTACGTTTGTATTCATGCATTTACATTTTTCCAATATAAATATCAGAAAACGTCCACAAATGTCGCTGTGCATATAACTTTGGCGAAAGAGTGTTCTTCTTGTCCTACATCCCTTCAAACGTATTTTTTTATTTTATCTATGCATTCGCACTGCAGATGTAAAAGCTTTTTTTAAAGATTGTTTCTGAATTGTTATAAAACCTCGCTTTGGGTGAGCTTGGTTGACCGCACACGGTTTCCACCGACTCGAACAAGGTCAGGATATGTAGTCAATGGTAGAAATACCTTTTCGAAATCCAACTTTGCTCAAATGGTTTTTAGTTGGCTTCTACAATTCAATATCGCAATACTGTATACAGTTTCATATAATGTTCGTTAACAGTTTACATACACGTGAAAGGAGACCAATGGAAATGTTATTTTTTTAAAATTAGTTTTAACACCAGTTTTGAAGAAGAGGAGAATGATTGCGGTATAATTCAATGCTCACAAAAAAATGCATTGTGAATCCTGTAGCATATTATTTTGTAGAAGTATCTCATAGGTTACGCCACATCATAAACATTAGAGTGATTTTATTCGTGAAACTTTAATCGGTGCGGGGCAAACAAACTTCATGACGTAATTCAGCTGTCCTCTGGCAAATAAACTTATAAGAAGTGTGGTTGATATAATTTGCATAATAAAAAGATACACTGCCGTGTTCACTGAAGTGACTGTTATTCATGTTGTTAACCTTGACAAACCCAGATACGAGAACAAAGTGCAATCAGTACACTGGGTTTATCACCCTGCACTCCCTTCGTTGACAAGGACCTATGCCCACACACAATTACTGCAACATTACAATGACCAGGTGAAGTACTAAAACGGCTTTGCGGTTACAGCTTAGTTCGACAAATTAGATTTTTACTTTTCTACCGAGACTGGAATGTAGTAATAGCGAGCTTTACTCTTCCTTGAGCACGTTGGCCTTTTAACGAGACCATGCTCCTACTGGTTAGGCACTTTGTGGTTTATACAGACGTCACTTGGTCTTTTCATGCCTTGTTGTCAAACCAATAAATTAGAGGCATAATTAAAGTGAAACGTCTGTAATATGTACAGTATGTTATAGAGGGTGCAGTAGCCCTCTGTACTATAAACCCCGGTGTCTTGAGATTGAGTCCGAGCCATGGCTAACATCAGTGGTTAGCGATATCTAAACTAGTCCTGGGCCTCCACTCTCACCAACCCGCACTGACCAGCATGATCCAAAAACACCCAAAATAAACATGGCATGGAGAGGCCTTCATCCAACAGATCCAACAGTGGGTTAACAAAGCATATTTCTTGTCCAATATGATATTCAATTAAAAAGTAAAATACTGAATGTTGAAATGTTACTCACTACTGCGTTATGCCATCACTCATCAATTGTTGAGTTACTTTTTACTTAAGTTGTAACACATAAAGTTGCTTTACAGAGAACTTAAATCTATATGCAGTCTTGACTTTGACCCTCATGGACTTCCTAACAGTTGGCGCGCGCACTTCAATTAGATGGATTCATGAAATGGGGTATAAACACTGGCATTTTAAACTGGAGGAACATTTTTTAATATGGTCGCTGTTCTCAAGACGAGGAAAAGGCAGCAATGATAAATATTAGGCGTCATCTTGGATATGTTTGAACTTAATAGAGTGTTTCGCGATTACCTCAATGTCACGGTCGGTTGAGTAAAAGAAGAGAATGTTTCCTCTGAGCTCTACCCAACATATTTTGAGTGCCTGTTCGGAGAAAAAAATCTTCCCGTTAGTTGGCATAGTTGTGAGAGCACAGAAAGCTTTAATAAAGCACGTTTTTTGAAAAACTCATGGGACCATGCACAAAACTTAATTCAGTGCACCGTCACAAATGTGACCGTCACATATCCATCTTGACCAATTAAGTCCCCAAACCCAGCGTGGTGCAGTATGCAACTGGCATACTACTTTTCTATAGATGTTCACTTATCCGACTATTTTTACATATCTGCATATACCTCAGTCCCCATGTGACCTCGTGCTATATGCTCAAATGATGGCATTAACTATCAGCAATCCTGTCATTCTGCCAAGTGTCTACAGGTATTTGTTTTCATCACATGAAAAGTCTGATCTTCCGCAGTCTGGTCTACCAATAGCATGAACCACAATAGAATGCAAACAACATTTAGCACCACATATCCATTTTCTGATTACTCTTCATCAGCGATCAATACATTCCCCTTGTTGACAACACAATATCGTGTTGCCGGCACAAGATGAACACGAGACTCAAGAAAAAAAAGCCAAACGACGTCTTACTGCACCTTATCTGTTGATGATTTTTTTTCAAGAAATCCTTTCATGTACACAGGAAGCGTCGTCTTCTGGTCTCGCATGATGGCTATGTCGCGTTCTCTCTGTACACGAAAATCCATCGCAAGTCCTTCTGTCGTCTGCCCAGGGAATCCTGATGCGACACAGCACTCACACTCACACTGTGGGCCACTGCTTCTGACTCTTGATGTGGTGGTGGTGGCATGTCATAAAGTCGGACTCTGGACCAGGAAACACTAAAGTGGAATCGCCTTGTTCATGTTTAAAATTACGCGTTTTTTTTACAGGATTATCAACTTGGATATTTTGTCTCATGGTTTGCTGTAATTGACCGATGCGGTGTAATATCTCCTTTTGAGTAAAAATGGCAATTGCCGGCGCTGTGCTGAAGTAAATCTGTGGTTGACACAACATTTATTTAAACTAAGCCAGGTGAGAAGCCATTCAGAAGATGTGTGTGATTCTATGAAAAGGAAAACTAGAAGTAAGTATGGGTATGTTATTAAAAACACATTTTGGGGAGAAAAAATTGCGATCACTTAAGATTGAGACTTACAAAAAAACCGTCTTGATATATCTACCTATTCCATTATCACGTGAGATGTCTTGTTAGTGATATCTCTTTTTAAACTTGCCTGCTGGAATGTAAAGTGGACTTGTTTATCTTTGTAAATGTATATAGGTTAAAGGGGGGAAACTGAATGCATCAGGTGACCATGGGATAATTGCGACATAATGCGCGCTATGTGACAGGGGGACACAGTTGTGGAGTGTGGGGGAGGCTTGTATCATCAGCAGTTTGCTCCTTCACCTATCCCACCGATGTGAAATAAGAGTTGCTGGGGAAATGAGGGATGGGGGGGGGGTCTGTGGTTTATTCACCTGATAGGCTCACAGTGACGACATCACATTTACCCCTTCTATTTAAGGCCAAAACAGGAGGTGTTCTCATCATTCTGATGAAGATGGTCGTAATTACCAGCGAAACGTCATAGTCGCATTGTAATGTTGTCGGTTTACTCTCCAACACACCGGTGTGCTGAACGAGTAACGAATTGGCATGTTTTGTTTATGTGACAAACCTTACTAATTGGCTGTGTCGGGTGGTGGCGAGTTTAACGACACATTTATATTTACGCGATCTAACCCAAAAAACCTTTATTATGTATAGTATTGGTTGCGAAAGCCTACTACGTGTTACACTGATTTGACCATTCTATTCCACGCTGGTCAGTGCAAAGATACACACCTGAATGGCAACACACTATAAACGCAGAAAATAACAACGACGTTTCGATCGCAACACAAGCAGTGGTCATCAGGAAAAGGGTTTCATCAGGAAAAGGGTTATTGTCTTTGAACCAACCTACGTGACTTTACCGAAAGACTCAAATAATATGCATTTTCCAGGTTAAATAAATTCGGGGCCGTCCATAAATGACGTCACGCACCTGGGGGGGGGGGGGTCAGACATTTGTGACGATGTGTGACGAGGGGGGGGGGGGTTGAGAAATGTGACTTCACATCAAAATGCGCAACTTTAAATAAATATAGACAACACGTTCTACTTCATTAAATAGACTTTTTAATAAATGTTTTCTCCTACAACATCAGAGTGCAGCGCCCCATTAAATACGCACTACAATGACAATAGTTTAAAGCATTTTGAAGCATGTTTTATTTTTGGGGGGGGGGGGGAGTAGAGCTTTGTGACGTCATATTTGAGGGGGGGTCTGACTTTTTGTGACGTCGTGTGACGAAGGGGGGGGGGATCAAAAATAGTCAAAAATCGCGTGACGTCATTTATGGACGGCCCCCTATGTGCTGTGCAAGAAATTGTAGGATCATAATGATCTCAATGTCATTCCAAGCGTGCATCTGTACATACTTCACTGCGCAATTTTCAAATTCTGTTCCATTTTTTTTTTGGTTTTATGACCACGATTATGATGATAGCAGCAACATTTCACAAATTATCAATCATCAACAGCGGGCAAGCTACCTCCAGAGCTCTCTCGACGCACTCAACAACAGAGGGCCAATCTCCACGTGGCTCTCGACCGCCACAGCGTGGGACGTAAATGTCACAAATTGCCAATCACGAACACACACAAACACAAAACAATTTGCGAGTAACCAACCTCGAGGTAGCCCTCTACTGCCACGGCGTGGGCAAAGGAAATAACAACACACTTACTTTGTACAGTGCAACATAAGCGCCGCATGGAATTTATTTATAGGTGAGCCAGTACTTAATACAGTTCTGCTGAAGTGTTGTGACTGATCACGACGCTGCCTGCTTCTAGCAAAGCGTCTGCCCGGGGAGAAGGGGGCATTGGGTTGATGGATGGACGTTTGTTAGCAAGCATTTGGGCATCGCAACCAAGCTGGGTCCGTTGCCCACATCGTTACGTGTTGTTGTAAACACGTGTTGTTGTTGTTGATGTTGTTGTTGTAAACGCGTTCCGCTGGGTGGGCAAGAGGCCGCGGTGCAGAGCGCCGTGTCAACATTTAGGTGGCAGGAAGTTACGGAAAAAGAGAGTCGGAGGAGCTGTGTTTGGGACCCGTTTCTCTCTCTCTCATCTCTCTCTCTCTCGTTGGTTTCCGTGTTACAAGGGACACGGGAGGCGGATTTGGACGGACTACAGAGACCACCACCACCACGTCGTTGTCACTTCACCAGAGCTGGGAGGAGGTGGTGGTGGTGTAGGGTGCAGGGAAGGTTTGTAAGGTGCAAGTGGTGGGGGTTTGGGTTTGGGGTGGGTGCCATTGCAACAACGAATTCCTAAACGAGAACGTGGCTTGCGTTTATTTTAGCAACAGTTTGTTTCGACGGCGAAAACCTCGCCCGAGAAAGCCTCTCTGGCCGGCCGTCATCCTCTCGCTCTGATCCGGCCTCATCAAGCCCTGGGGGGGGCACCACCGGCGTCATTCGCGTTGAGCACTCTCCTACATCTTCTGTGCCGTTCTAGTTCTTGTTTAGGGGGAGGCTGGTGGTGGTGGTGGATTACTTTGGGAGTTAGGGGGAGGCTGGTGGTGGATTACTTTGGGAGTTAGGGGAGGCTGGTGGTGGATTGCTTTGGGAGTTAGGGGAGGCTGGTGGTGGTGGATTGCTTTGGGAGTTAGGGGAGGCTGGTGGTGGTGGATTACTTTGGGAGTTAGGGGGAGGCTGGTGGTGGATTGCTTTGGGAGTTAGGGGGAGGCTGGTGGTGGTGGATTGCTTTGGGAGTTAGGGGAGGCTGGTGGTGGATTGCTTTGGGAGTTAGGGGGAGGCTGGTGGTGGATTACTTTGGGAGTTAGGGGCAGGCTGGTGGTGGATTGCTTTGGGAGTTAGGGGAGGCTGGTGGTGGTGGATTACTTTGGGAGTTAGGGGGAGGCTGGTGGTGGATTGCTTTGGGAGTTAGGGGGAGGCTGGTGGTGGTGGATTGCTTTGGGAGTTAGGGGAGGCTGGTGGTGGATTGCTTTGGGAGTTAGGGGAGGCTGGTGGTGGATTACTTTGGGAGTTAGGGGCAGGCTGGTGGTGGATTGCTTTGGGAGTTAGGGGAGGCTGGTGGTGGTGGATTACTTTGGGAGTTAGGGGGAGGCTGGTGGTGGATTGCTTTGGGAGTTAGAGGGAGGCTGGTGGTGGATTACTTTGGGAGTTAGGGGAGGCTGGTGGTGGATTGCTTTGGGAGTTAGGGGAGGCTGGTGGTGGATTACTTTGGAAGTAAGGGGAGTCTGGTGGATTACTTTGGGAGTTAGGGGCAGGCTGGTGGATTGCTTTTGGAGTTAGGGGGAGTATTGTAGTGGATTACTTTGGGAGTTAGGGGGAGTGGGCTGGTGGATTACTTTGGGAGTTAGGGGGGAGTGGGCTGGTGGATTACTTTGGGAGTTAGGGGGAGTATTGTAGTGGATTACTTTGGGAGTTAGGGAGAGTGGGCTGGTGGATTACTTTGGGAGTTAGGGGGGAGTGGGCTGGTGGATTACTTTGGGAGTCTGCTGGTGGATTACTTTGGGCTCGACCCTTTCAAGGCGGTGGTGGAGTCCGTGGGACCCCGCCGACGAGAAGAAGAGCCATGTGTCTGCCGTGCCTCCTCGCCCAGGTGAGTGCTCCGGGACAAACACGGGAAACCTTCTTAGAGGTTTCATTTGGGGATGGGGGGTTAGATAAATATATAAATGTGTTGTTAAACCCCGCCACCACCCGACACAGCCAACTGGTAAGGGTTGTCACGTAAACAGAGCGTGGCTAATTCGTCACTAGTACAGCACACCGGTGTAGTGTATAGTGTATAGTAGTGTAGTGTATTGTGTATAGTAGTGTAGTGTGTATAGTAGTGTATAGTGTAGTGTGTAGTAGTGTAGTGTAGTGTATAGTAGTGTAGTGTATAGTAGTGTAGTGTGTATAGTAGTGTATAGTGTAGTGTATAATAGTGTAGTAGTGTAGTGTATTGTGTATAGTAGTGCAGTGTGTAGTAGTGTAGTGTATTATGTATAGTGTAGTGTATAGTAGTGTATAGTAGTGTATTGTGTATAGTTGTGTATAGTGTAGTGCATAGTAGTGTATAGTGTAGTGTATAGTAGTGTATTGTGTATAGTTGTGTATAGTGTAGTATATAGTGGAGTACTGTATACTAGTACAGCACACCAGTGTAGTGTATAATGTAGTGTATAATAGTGTAGTGTGTAGTAGTGTATTGTGTATAGTAGTATACTAGTACAGCACACCGGTGTGTTGGAGAGCCAAGCCACAACATTTACAATCTTGAGTACGACGTTTCGCCAGTAATTACAACCAGCTTCATCAGGCGACAGCCAGATTTGTGGAGAAGTCCACCTGGTTTCTGTCCATGCGTGGAGGCGTAGATGTGTTGACCACGCTTTGTGGTTTTAACGACACATACATGTACACGATCTAACCCAAAAACCTCTCATCATGGATGATATTAGTCGCGAAATCCTCCTGTGTTAATTAAACTGACGGTGTCGCATGTTTCACCCTAATGAGTCCGTGCGTGGCTGATGCACAAGTGATGTGAGGTTTGTGTTTGGTGTTTGATCATCTTAACATCTATTTTATTGCCAAAAAAGGCACGTACCGAGTTCGTTTTTTGAAGTGTAATTATGTACAAGTCGTAACTAATGATGGCAATACACGGCCCTCCTCGGCATATCCACTGCTGGATGGCGAGGAAGAGGAAGATGCCCCCCCCTCCCCATGCTTCACCACGCCGGCAGCATAGATGCGGGAGCATAGGAGTAGAGTACAACACTGCACTCTCCTCGCTGCAGTGCTGTCTTAATGCACACCTCACACCTTCACCTGATTATCACACACCTTACGAGTACACCGTGTGCACATTTCACATGTGTGCATGCACATTTCACATGTGTGCATGCGCTAACTTATACCAACATTGCATGAGATCACGAATGATTGTTGTTACCCGTCTCCCATTGCACAAGGGGGGGGCCTGTGTGTGGTGGTCTGGCGTGTGATTTAAAGGGCTGTAGGTGTTTGTGCACGGATAGAAATCGTACTCTACGTGTATCGATAAAGTACTGTACTCTGCAAATGTCTGTACAAGTGGCAGTGACTGTCATTGTTGTAATGCGATCTGGGGATTGTGAAAGACTGTAAGTAGAGAGTCATTGTCAATGTCCTCCTTAGGCAGGTGGTGGTGGTGTGTACAGGGTGGTCCAGTTGTCTTGTGACCCCCCCCCCACCCACCCCCAATTTAATTGGCTCCTAACATTGTTTTTCCTTCGGCATATTAATTAATGTTTTAAATAAACCTTACTTGAAATTGTTTTGAGAATTAAGTGGGGAAGGTGGGGCCACAAGACATCTGGACCAGCCTGTACAGTTCGGTATTGTACGTCAGCATCACCCAACAATTGGATACAGTATCTGCCTTTGGGCATTCTGTACCATAATAACACACCACTACTACTACTGCCACCTTTAGTTAATCATTCATACCATACGTCAGCCTCCCAAGCAAGTATGAACACATTGTTTGGTTGATGCTGCTGCTGCTGCGTTGGCACTGGGTGATGCACAATTAACAACAACAAAACCAACTCAATACATTTGTCCACAGCAACAGTGGCCTTTAATAAGTTGTATGTGCCATGAAGAAGGGCTTGTTGCCCCGAAACGTCGCCCATTATACATTCGTACCCTTTGAAGGCCACAGTGTTCTTGACGAATGCGAGTTATTTTTTCTCTTCCAAGTGTAATCGGTCATCAAATGCCACGATGTGTGTGTGTTTGTGTGACAATGTGTGTGCGTTTGTGTGACGACAGCATGCCAAGCAAGCATGTGGGTGCGGTGGAAGAGTTGAGTCATCTTGCATCGAGTGGGCCCCATGACTTCATTCATAGCCGTCAACCCCTGAGCAATGCCCTCCTGACCTTATTATAGACCGATTCAGACCGTATTGGTCACCCCGTGCCCCTTAGAAGTCTCAACGTTCATCCTACAAAGTCCCATCACAAGGGAGAAACACAAACAGACAAAGAAATAAAATTTGCCCGTATTGAAACGGCTGTATGCCGTATGGACCCGAAAACTCTATTTCCCTGTACAACAACACGGGCTAAACCGTGTGGGTTGACACGATAAGAGTTTTTTTTGGGTTAGATCGCGTAAATATATAAATGTGTCGTTAAAACCCGCCACCACCCGACACAGACAACTAGTAAGGGTTGTCACGTAAACAGAACGTGCCCAATTCGTCACTAGTACAGCACACCGGTGTAGTCTAGTGTATAGTGTAGTGTATAGTGTAGTGCATTGTTTATAGTAGTGTATAGTGTAGTGTATAGTGGAGTGTAGTGTATAGTGGAGTATACTAGTACAGCACACCGGTGTGTTAGAGAGCCAAGCCACAACATTTACAATCCGAGTACGACGTTTCGCCAGTAATTACAACTAGCTTCATCAGGCGACAGCCAGATATGTGGAGACGTCAACTGGTTTCGTTCCTTATATTTATAGTTAGACTTCTCCACAAATCTGGCTGTCGCCTGATGAAGCTAGTTGTAATTACTGGCGAAACGTCGTACTCAGATTGTAAATGTTGTGGCTTGGCTCTCCAACACACCGGTGTGCTGTACTAGTATACTCCACTATACACTACACTATACACTACTATACACAATACACTACACACTACACTATTATACACTACACTATACACTACACTACACCGGTGTGCTGTACTAGTATACTCCATTCTACACTAAACTATACACTACACCGGTGTGCTGTACTAGTGACGAATTGGCCACGTTCTGTTTACGTGACAACCCTCACAAGTTGGCTGTGTCGGGTGGTGGCGGGTTTAACGACACATTTACGCGATCCAACCCAAAAAAAACCTCTATCATGGATGATATTGGTTGCGAAAGCCTACGTGTTAAACTGTGTTGACACGGTATGTGACTTTGTGTTGCCATGCGGTTCAACCACAGCCACCCACACCCCTCTTGAGCCCAGTCTCTGCAACATTGCCTCCCAACGTGCTCGCCGAGATATTGCGCAACCTGCCACTAAGTGATGTGCTCGACCAAGCAGATGTGCCCCCCCCCCCCTTCCAGCCTCTTCCAGCGTAGTTGGATTACGATCAACAATCCTATTTACCTTACACGGAAAAAGTGACATCCTTAAGAAGAGCACGGCGGTTCCGTGTGGGGTGGTGTTGGGAGGGCGACTTGGTGCAGCTTGGCAGAAGCGGTAATAAGCCGAGGATAAGTCGGGAACAGATCGAGGCTTTGGTGGCATCACAGGAGCAACAGAGGATACACATTGGGGTTGTATGCCCCCAACCCCTTCCCACCAATTCAACAAAAGCCATTGCTGTCAACCCATACGGTTTATCCGTATTCTTGTACAGGGAAATTCGAGTTTTCAGATCCATACGGCGTACAACCGTTTCAACACGGGCAACAACGAAACCATTGTTTGATTGTGTTTCTCTCCTGTGATGGGATTTTGTAGGATGAACTTTGAGATTTACAAGGGCACGGGGTGACCAATAAGGTCTGAATTGGTTTGTAATAAGGTAGCCACTGATAAGGGGTTGACAGGTATGAACAGCCATCCACTTTGTTTTCTATTTTTGAAATAACCAAGTCCTGCTTTTTTGCTCTAGGAAGGAAAAAAAATAATCCGTAGATACTCTTTGTTTTTTTTCGGTAAAGTCAAGTACATAAAAAATAAAATAAATTAATGAAATTAAATAAATCATGACGTTTCGGAAGCACCTACGTGACTTTACCGAAAAAAACAAAGAGTATGGATCCTTGCAGTCACGAAAACTTCAAATCTAGAAATAATCCATAGAGGTTGTATAATGATTTTAAGTATGAAGTTGTCACACCCATCCAACTACGGTATGTATGTTGAACTTATTTCGCACCCTACGTAGCCAACCGTGATAATCGGAGGTGTTAAAGCAGTTTGTGATCATTTTTTAAAAATAGATCAGGTGTAGGGGGAACTGCAACGGATTTATTTACACTGTCGTAATTATTAATTGAATCGCACAGAGTGCATACAATCCACTTGTACCTGACCCTGGATAGGCCAGAGAACAGAAGCCAATTAACAATCAAATGTCACCACAATTATATCTATTTTGAATCGGGTAATACGGCACAGTATTGTAGTAGAGCATGCAGTAGCTATGTACCTAGCGTGCATTAAACATATAATTTCCTAGAACAGGGGTCGGCAACCTACGGCTCCGGAGCCGCATGCGGCTCTTTACGGGCTGCTTCTTGACGATGAGTACGTACTCAGATGCATTGCGGCTCTTGAAACACTGAATTTTGTACCGAATTGGAAAGAAATGGCTCTTCTTGTTATTTTGGTTGCCGACCCCTGGCCTAGAACCTTGAGTACATTAAAGCTTAGTACTGTAGTCGTGTATAACAGGTTTGATAAATAGTTAAACAAATATTTTTTTGAGACAACTAGAATGAACATCAATATATGCACACCTATTTAAGGTGGACTGTGATGAAGATTACATAGCAAAACAACTTTTGTCTGTCTGGATAGATGGGGCTGAATGGGCGTGGCACAGGCTAGAGAAGAGATAGACTGAAGTGGTACATAAGGATGTGGAGATGATTGGACTTCCTGATGACTGGTACCAGCAGTGTCAAGATTGGCCTCTGTGGAAGGAAGTTCGTGAAGGATGCTGCTGGGGAGTTAGAGGCAGTCACCCTCCAGCAACGATGGTCACAGAGATGACTCAGTCGGTCAACCCCCTAACACCTGGATCTATTCTTTGACCTCCTACCAGCAGGCCTTCGACACTTCATGTGGCCTCAAAGTGCACCTAGCATGGCACAAGCACCATGGTGACTTCACTGGCACTTAGTGGTAAACGGTTGTTCTTGTTGTTTGAATGTCTCCGTGTGTGTGTGTCTCCATGTGTTTCTGTTTGTGTGTGCCCATCTCCGTGTGCGTGTCTCTGCGTGTCTCTGCATGTCTGTGTGTGTCTCCATGTCTGTGAGTTGAGGGCTGGGAGTGGGGGCTGACGGCTGTCTGCCATACTTCTTTATGCATGACCAATGCAGAGGGGATGGCGAGAGGTGGGGGTGGAGGCTTTTGACATTTCTTCCCATAATTCTGAAAATACCGCTCGGCACACCTGGGACTGCCATGGCACACTAGCTGTGAAGCACAGAACTGTGGACTGACTCCTACTGTAATAATGCAGACATGTGTCACCACTGCTTAGGGTTGATCAACTAAGATTAGTGCCACCCAATGCTGGTTTGAGCAAATAGGCATGTTGTTCTTGTAATGCAATGTATTATGACAGTCATTACAAAAATTCTAAATTCATACATGGTGACCTCCCAATTGTCTTGATGCGAGGGAGAAGTTATGACAGATCCTACTTTCCAAGCCCATCTGAAAATAATTCCTGATTGATTCTTCCTATTCTAATGTATGTGGAAATAGCTGGAGTTTCTCCAGATCAATTGGGAGCATGGATAATAGCAGTTGTGGGTTATAGGTCCCCAGGTAAAAGGAATTGATTTATACCTAGCCTTTTGCCCGTCCAAGGACGGGTGTATTTCAGTAAATTGGAAACTTGCAAGCAAAAAGCAGACCGCGACGTGATGTTCATTGCATCAATTCGCGTGCAATTTGTAAGACTTATTTCATTTAAAAGTTATAATCCCTTGTTCATCATGATGTCCTTTTTACGTATCAACAGCGTTACGGAGATCGCGTGACGTGAGGGTTCTGCCTTTGTAGTGAGGGTTGTGAGTTGACGCCGAGGAGGGGCGAGGAGGCGCCTCACCCCACCATGTGGAGTGACGTCACCTGCTCATGATTATTAATGAGGGGGGCTGGTCGACGTGGAGTGACGTCACGCGCTGGACACACAGACATTCTTGGCTCATTATAGAAGTAAAACTAGCTGTACTACCTGGCTTCGCCCGGGACTTGGATCCACCACGCCCGGCCACCTTTGTCTCCCCAGTGGCGATGTTCACACCACAGCAGTTACTCGTTTTGAGGCTGAGTCGACCTAGGGGAGGCCCAGGACCGGTTCAAATAATCGTCACCGGTGGTGGCTGTGAGCGGGAATCGAACTCGTGTCACCGGGTTCATAGCGCAGTGCGCTACCCGCTACACTACAATGCGTTACGCTTCCACGTGCGCGGGTCACGTGACAGATTTGACGTCACAGCTCAATTGCCTTGCAAAAAATATATGCATTATTGAGCCCGACCCCCCCCCCCCCCCAAAAAAAAAATATATTTTCATAATTTTTGCACGGTGTCCAGTCTGGAAAGTACCCACATGGCAAATTTCAAGTTTATTGCATGTCGGGAAGTACGCTAAACATGTTGAACAGACACACATATTCACAACTTTGCCTTTTATATATATGGAGATTGAGGTCATGTATGTATGTTGAACTTCTTTTGCACTGTACGTAGCCCACCGTGCTAATCGGAGGTGCGATGTACTTCATTTCTGTAAAAATGTTTTTAGTAAATAGGTCTAATAATTTTGTTCTTATCACACGTATATGAATGATCATGATCGTGGATGATGATAACCAACTCCTTTTTCAACGTTATTTTTGTGCCTGCTTGGTGTCATGTACTTATGCTAACTCGTGTTATTGTACATCTTCCTGCCCTTCATTCGTATTGGCGTGCAGGTGGCATGTTGCTTCGGATCGACCGCCTGCTCGCTATGCTGCGCATGCTGCCCCACCATCAAGGAGTCGACGGGCTCGCGCATCATGTACACATTCTACCACATCTTGGGCACCATCGTCTGCTGTCTCATGCTGGCCCCAACCATCTCCGAGTCGCTGAAAAACAATGTGCGTTCGGCGCTTTGACTTTTCGGTCACTGGCGTGTAAAGTTACGTTATATCCTGCGGTAAAATTTAAATATGTAAAGGTCCCACCCTGCAATTTCTTGTTTATGCCACTGCTGGTGGAAGGGCCTCCACTAGAGGGAGCTCGAGAGAGCCTCTCTATAGGACCTACTCTTCCACACCAACCAGAGGTCTTCGAAGAAGTGGGAGTGCCCACACTTTACCCCACCACACGCGACCTGCAGTTCGACTAGCTGTGGTGAATCCAAATATATTGCTGGATGGACAAAGGCGGATGGAGAAATTTAAGAAACGCGGCCATTGTTTCAACTGCCACGCCAGGGGATTAAGTGCAAGTTTAGTGTGATAACCATTACATTACAGCAACATCCAATGCTCTATAGCACTTAATTTGATTTTGGACTTAAGAGTTGGTCATTTTAACAGTTTTTTTGATGGATTGAAAATGTGGTACAATGTACTTCAGTGGTGACACTCATTTCCCCTTTGTAGAACTTTCACCTGTTTATTTACATTTTTTAAAATTATTAATACAGTGCTTGCATACGATAATATAACTAATATTTGGAAAATTCTAAACTCTACATATGTCCTTATTTCATCAATAATTTATTTTGCAAGTATTTTCCATGTGAAGACAAATGGTGTTGTAGTCATAGGCACCTATTTGAAAGTCTTGTTATATATTATAAAACCCATAAAGTAAGATATCTGTTGGAGGGACTGAACTGGAAAATAGCACAATATGTATACATAGTACTGCTATTGAAGTAGATCAGACTCAAATTGATTAGGTTGAGAGGCTCATGATGGAGAAGATTTATATTAGTGCACAAAGAAACATGGATAGCCATGTGCTTGAAATAACACGGAGAAATAGGAACGTGAAACTTGCCCTCTGACATCCACCGGTGAGACATCAATCAATTCAGCTCATGTGCAGGTGCTTAGGTGGTTTATTGTATCGCAGGATCGTGAGAGATGGCAACAGCTTGGGGGGGGGGGTCCTTCAGCAGTGGATTTTGTCATATCTAATGATAACTATGAATGCCTGTTGATGACTAAAACATGGTTCCTTTTTAAATCCTTTATATTAAGTTCACTTGCTTGCGCACTTACGACCGTGCAAATCTTTCGGTCGTTTTTTAACCCACTTCCCGTGATCCAATCGAGCTGATATTTTGCACACAGACTCGTTGTGCGTGACAATTTATTTTCGTGAAATTTTTTTTCCTAAATTTTCTACATTTTAGGAATTTTTTTTTATATTGAATTACCAATTGCTTAATGGTGGCAGGCAATCATCTGACCCATAGGTGGCAGCCATCTCAAGCCAGAGGACGAGAGGACTCTAGCCGCCACGCATATAAAGGATTTATAGTGAAAAGCTTTGTTTTACGGGTTATTTTTTACTTTGCACATGGCTGTATTAAAGCTGCTCAAGCAGAAGAGCCTGCCTCATTTATAGAACCAAGTGGCACGCACAACTCTCTTTGAACTGGCTAGGATTATTTCACTGTGTAAGCCAGGCTCTATGATATATACTGTATTCATGAGTGTGAATAAGTGCACCACACATTTCGTCCTTCATTCTGTATATCTCCCTTTATTTCCAAAAGGTGCCCTTTTACTCGGACTTCTGCAACGCCATCCAGGCCGGCGTGGACTGTGAGAAGCTGGTTGGCTACTCGGCGGTGTACAAAGTCTGCTTTGGGATGTCGGCCTTCTTCTTCCTTTTCGCCATCATTCTCATCAACGTGAAGACGAGCAAAGACTGCCGCTCCTACATACACAACGGGTTTGTGCTTGTGTGACCATTAATGATTGTTAACAAATTAATGATAATTTTCTGTTCATACAAATTCATAATACTGTATAAGGTGTTTTTTTTAAATCATGAACCAGTTTGCCCATATGTGTTTTAGGTATTTTGTCACTGTTGCATGTAATTATTTTTCTTGTACTGTATATGTGCTTTGCTATTAGCCTTTTCTTCTGTAGTGCTTGTATTTTTTGCACTTTCCCAGTTTCCCATGCAAATAAAATACATATGTAATTGAACTCTTCTACGGTTAATGATCTGCGGTATAGGTAGCGTTTTAGTCATTGCTTAAAAAGTTACATGCAGCTAGGAAATGCATCCAATATGTTCAACCATGTTTATTGCTGAACACTGGTACATGCAGCGCTCCACATGGAGTACACGATAGCACTGCATCTAATTAATAATCAACATTGAATGCAAACCACATGGAGTGAAACTTGGCCAATACAGGATGCCGACAGCGGTGTGTGGTCACCAGAGTAATACTACTGCACGTGGAACTGGGGCATGCACATGTGCTGCCAGGTTTTTTTTCTTGCCCCGTTATGAACCCTGAAATAAGTTGCTTACGAGAGTAAATGTAGCTGATCTTGATGACCAGCCTTGCATATGGTGTACACCTGAGTCTGATGCAGTAGTGACCAGTGATCATCATTAGAATTAGACTGGTAATTGGCATTCTAAAATCCCTTAATAAGCTGCAGAATACCAGATATTTTAAGCACCCAGTGCATAATACCTGCTATGACACGTGGATAATAAACATGGACACTGAACATTTTAATGGAACAAAGACCTGAAAAGTGTGTAATTAGCATGGAAATGTACATGCTTGGGAGCTAGACTGAGACGGAAAGATGAACACATTGATGAGAGAACATACACCATTATATTTATATTGACTTAAGAAAAGTAAACGAGCTTGGGTAGCACACGTCACGAAAATGTATTATTTAAAAATACCTTTTTAAAATGCAGTGAATTGTGGGCATTATATTACTACTTGAACACATTTGCAGGTCATTCATGTGAATTCTGACAACCAAACTGCTTTTCTTTGGTAAAAATGTAGGTGACTCATTTAAGCCACAACAGTGTGTCTGTTTTGTTATTAACCGACTCTTGCATTGCCAGCCAAGCGGGAGTAACTTTATTGCAGCTGGTGTAGAACATAATATCAACGTTACTGTGAAAATATACTGACCATTGACATGTGTAGTGAGTCACTGAGAGACACTAATAGTAGGAGGCACTCTATTTATTATAGCCTTCACAGGTACAAGGAGTAACTACACTATGGTCAGGACAGCTAACAGGCTACCTGACTAACAATGCCGAGGAGGTGAAGACGGTCAAGACTCCAGCAGCACGACGGTTCTTGCTCAGGGATCCCCCTTTTTAAATCCTTTATATTAAGTTCACTTGCTTGCTTGCTTACGACCGTGCAAACCTTTCGGTCGTTTTTTAACCCACTTCCCTTGATCCAATCGAGCTGACATTTTGCACACAGACTCGTTGTGCGAGACAATTAATGTTCGTGAAATTTTTTTCCAAAATGTTACACTGTTTAGGGAAAACAAATTAAATATTTAATTACCAATTGTTTAATACTGCAGACAATCATCTGACCCATAGGTGGCAGCCATCTCAAGCCAGAGGACGAGAGGACTCTAGCCGCCACGCATATAAAGGATTTAGAGTGAAAAACTTTGTTTTTACGGGTTATACTTATATCCACCCAGCGTGGCCTCGCTCCGGCTTCGGCCATGCCCCCCTTCTAGAACCTACTAGAAGGTTCCTGGGCTTTACCTCACGTGCCCCCTCTGTCACCTTTGCCCCACATCCCTTTCTCCGGCTTATCACGTGACCTGCTGGCAGACAGGGCTACTACAACAGCAGATCCCCTTCTCTGCCAGCAACCAGCGCAACACGCCATAGTGATTAATTCCATGTCACTACACATGTATAAAGTGAAAAGTATACAGAAGGCTAATAATATACGAGACATTATTCAGTTTGAACAGAGAAAACAAATTGTCATGTATTTGGGAGCTATGCTTTTTTGTTGTGGTTGAAAAAAGAGTTGACATGAATGAGAACATGAATTTACAAGTGTTGTAACTGGTATTTTCAACAGCATATGTGAGTAAAAATTATTGTGTATTGCCTGTACAGTAATTAATTAACATGGATAAACGCGTGTCCTTTTCCTAGGTTTTGGTTTTTGAAGTTCCTCATGCTGGCAGGATTTTGTGCAGGGGCATTCTTTATTCCAGATCAGAACACCTTTCTAAAAGGTAAGGAGAAAATCGCACCCCAAAATGAGGTTGAATCAGCAGCAAGCACCACACTTAATTTCCTGTATTAGTTTCCTCAGCAACGATTGTTGCGTGAAGTAGTTGAATTGAAGAACATAATTAATAAGCAGACTAAACGTGTTCACATTTTCGTTTATTTCACAACTCCACGAATTATTCATTCGCAGTGGTGTAATTGTACTATTGGGCCTATAGATGGCAGTGTTGTAACAAAGAAAACTGATTTCATTGCAGAATGCATTTACACGTGGTTTGCGACTGTACGTCGTGCAGGAATAACTTTAATTTGACATGTAACTATTCATTCCACCATAGCAATTGAAACAAACAAAAAATCCGAATGTTATCCCATTTGCACTATAAGCGTCACCTTATACAGCCAAACAAATGTAAACTTGCCGAGCAGTGCATTGCCACATGTTCAAGAACGGTCCAGTGAAACGAGATATCACAGAACTCCTTCTGAAATCACTTAATCTCATCATTAGCCTCAATGTATAGTATATAATTCGTAATTTGCATATAATCGGCATAAAGCGTATATGTTCAATAGTTAAAATGTATTATTCAATCCAGGTATTATAAGCGTAAGAGTGAATGGATTCATTGTTACCTGTTTACTGATGATGGATATATGCTACTGGAGACTGAAAATACAATTTTTTTTCATTTGAAAAGATTCTAGTTCTGTAACTAAAGTAGAGTGATTCGAATTGGTGTTCCTTAAATTATTAGCGTTTTCTGCCAATAACTTGGTACTGTACAGTTTAAGGTACATTTACCATATACACATTGATAGAAAGTTTTACAATCATTGTCTTTTGCTCGTAATGTGTCGAATCTTGCATTTACTTTACATGCGGAATTATAGTGTTGTTTTTTTACAGTACTGTACACATTTGTTGGGCGTAGCGATGGTGGCATCGGGCGGCACACTGACCTATGAACCTGCCGAGCTTAGTTCAATACCCAGCCATCGCAAGCATCACCTACGAATGATATCTGAATCTGGTCTTGGGCACGACCTGCCCCCCGTCTCCCCCCCCACCCTATACCACATCTTAACCAACTGGCACTGAGCAGTGTGGTGAAGTATGGTTAAACAACCACCAACATTGTGGGGAGGCTTTCCTCCAGCATCGGATTGACAAAAGGCTGTAATGCATGAGTCGTCGTTGTCTTATACTACCAATGCAGTGTACATCAAATTAAAAGCTGGTTTATTTGTTGTGTGTTGACAGTGTGGCAGTATATTGGGATGGTTGGAGGTTTCCTGTTCATCCTCATTCAGCTCATTCTTCTCATCGAGTTTGCTCACTCCTGGAACAAAAACTGGTGAGTAATTTTCGACGGCAATAATGTAACTTTCAAAAAACACGCACAAAAATGGTATGGTGAATATATTTTCAAGACCTGTCTTTATTATTTCCATGTACATCTATTCATCGGAATAAACAATGTAAAGATACACTGTTACTCACTGAGAAAGTGACAGCAAGATGGAACTAGTTCATCAAAACCGATATCCAACAACAAAATCGGACAGAAGCTTTAATAGATATAACCCGTGTTTGTCGGAGACAACATTCCAAACCGGTATCCAAGCTGGGGCTTGAAAATCTGGTATTCTGCAGCTTAGCAAGGCATTTGAGAATGCCAATGTTAGGTGTGGCCAATGTAATAATACCAAGCTACTTGTAAAATGTGACCAGGAAAATAACATTTAATCCGTCAGCCAATGTGCCTTGCAGATTAATGGAAGGCCAGGTTCCTGTATTTAAACCTTAGACTGGATTAAACTAAACTGGGTCTTCAGTAATATAGCACAAAAGCCTCTTTGAAGTGTAAACTATGCATTTTGCAGTAGCTCATCTGTGTGACAGACCCTGACAACAGCGCTGGGCTATCCGATAGTATTGGGTTAACCACGCCACTCGATACCATTGACACTTGGTGAAGTACAAAATTGGTTCAAGGTTGCCTCGCTTGATGTGAAATGGTGTGTGACCTGTGTAAGATCGAGTGTGGATGATACTCTGATATGAAATGAGAACTGGGTTCGTGATTGAGCCTCTGCGGGTCATTTCCAGTGACTCTCGTCACCTCTTTTTTTCATTACTTACTCAATTTAGACATTACCGCTGACACGAGACATTTATAAATAAACGGAACACTTGTCGCTGTCACACTGCTGATTTGTTTCTTGTCCAACTAAAAAAGCGACTGAACTCTTAATTAGCGGCGTACGCCCCAAGTTGAAGGTAAAGGTACAGGGCCCACCTGGTCTAAATTACAGTTCCTGCCACACAAGTCCGTCACTAAACTAGAAATTTAGGTTCCGGTTCGGGCGCACAGGCTCAGTGCTCGCACCCCTGCACGGTGCCTTTCCTCTGCACACGCCTGGCCTTCCTGATGACCGCACGTTCCGAGAATTATTCCCTAATGGTTTTTTTTGTTAATGGGCTCTCCACAGTGAGATACTTGCTCGCGCTTACTGGTCCAGAGGTTACGTGGCTCTGTTTGGAGTCTGGGGTTCATAAGTGTGACTCTGCTCGCTGTGATAATGCATTCCAGGCATTGGATCACACAACGTAGAGAGTGCCTTGTGCTTTCTCTCATGAGCCGTCCGCGCTCCTTACAAGAGCAGGCCTTTGTTAGTGAAGGTGCTGTCCACATTGACCAAGTGGAATAAAAACAACGAATAAACTGGCCTCTTTATAAAGAACACCAGAACACACTACGACGTTATTAAAGTTAATAAAATGAAACTGCACGACCCTCTGGACTGCATTTATGTGATGAGAAAGCATATGGGCTAAAATAACAGACACGTAATTGGTAATGAGATCAATTGTGATATCTCAGCTGTGCATGCACCAAAGCCACCTGGTTAAAGCAATTGAAACCGGTTGGTAAATAAACAAATTAGCTATAAAGATGCTTTAAATATTTTTCTGGTGCTTTATGTCTTGAGTGCTTACATTTCTCCGTAATTCATCGGAATAATTCCAGTGTTCTTTCTGGGATTATAGATGCCGCAGCATGGAGGTGTTACCTTTTCATTATAGTTTATTTAAGTATTAAGGGTTCTTTGTAATTTATGGCTCTTGAAGGTGCTTCCAACATGCACCTGCAGTAAACTGTGCCCCTGCTGTTTAACGGTAGTCAATGTCTTTACATTTAAATAAATGTGGTGATATAAATACTATTCATGTCTAAATAGATAATTTAAAGATAAAGGCCACCTGCTTTAGGCCATGTGTGGAGCCAAACTTGCCACTACCCTTAGTCCTATGGAGCTGCTGTTAAATTCACTTCCATAGACCCCTGGCATCAATATCTGTTTCCTCCTGAAATCGTGCTCCCCTTTTGTTGCCTGCTGTTCCATTACAATGCCATATTCCATCCCGAGTCTATTTATTTTTCTTTAGAGTGATTGTGATATTCCGCTAGTGTAATCTGATCGATTATATTTCCTGCCTTATTTCTTGAAATGTTTGTAAGGTGTGGACCATTGTAGGCTTAACACCGAATGATTGTACAGTATTTGCACGGTGTGTTTTGATTTTCAAAGCATACTGGTTCTTAAATAGTATATGTATTTTTTAGTCATCCGGGAATGTGCAAAACACAAAAGGGTTTGAGTCTAGATGACAGAAAAATGTACAGTAAGAAGTACATTACCATCATTATTGACAGCATGGAGGTGTTTTAAGGAATGATACAAGCTATGGATTTTCCAAACATACTGCCAGCTTGGCTCCACCTTCGTGTACAAATCTGCTTTAGGCTTGCTAAAGAAGGGGGCCGAAATCTGCCTTAATCGGCAGAAGGCACTCTGTGAAGTGTTCTAAACCATAATCCTGCAAAACAAAGTTCCTGCTTAAAATGCAGGGGGCAAAGGTCACTTCTAATAGCCCTCCAAAATCTGTCTTCTATTAGCATGCAAACGTGAGCTTAAAATATATTTTGTCTCGCGTGATTGCAATAATGCCATTAGTCTATGTTGGGGTGCTTGTTTAGAGACATTTGACTGCTTCATCTCCAACAAAAGGAAGATCTTTGTGTACTGTCATAATGCGTGGGGAAAATTACAGTTGTGGCTTCACTTGCATTGTTTTTCAGTGGCCTCTGAAAAATACTTGAAAAATATTTAACTCTTCCCTCTAAATATGCAGATAGAGGATGAATTCTGTTCTGCATTTTGTCCAACATACAATGCTTAGACTTTTTAAAATGCATGCCAAGCTGGGAAGCGGTATCTTCAAAGCCAACCTCCATTATTCCAAAAATTAACACAAGGCATATGGTCAGGTACTTTTAATCACATTAACAGTAAAAACATACATGTATTCAGTAATAAACAAAATAGGCATTGAGGTTCCCAGAGAATGGCAGTCTAGAAATGGATTAATTAATCTATCTGTGCAGTGCTTTGAGTGTGACAGCCTTAATGCGTGTGTGTGGGTCTTCTCCAGTCAACTCCAGTTTCCACCCACATGCCAAAAACACCCATTAATGGAATTGGCTGAACATCTCAATGGTAAAGTGAAAATGTTCTCTGAAATTCAAAGAAAAGTATTATTTCCTTCGCTGAAAATATAGTTACTGTGCTTTAAACAAAACAAGATGGTAAACAAAAAAAAGAAAAAATATCCAGTCAAAAGTGTTTTATGATGCCAAAAATGTGCCTGCGCAACCCACAATGTTGTTTGTGATACCATCTCAGGGTTGTGCATTTATCAGTACAGATCACCATCAGCCCATAAGGCATTGCACTGAAGCATTGGCTCAGCAAATAGGGAAATTTTCAAAAAGCACTCCTACAAATCCACAGAATATTAGCTTTAGCACTGCCAAAACGTGCTGCTTTGTTGTGTTGATTGTGGGTTTTTATTTTAAACATTGCTAAAAAATAAATCTCAATTATATACGTGACCAACTGTGGAACGTAGGCTTGCCGCGTGAGAAAGGCCACCCTGTACTTTAAAAAATATTTGTGGTTTATGAACTAAGGCCAAGAAATTAGTCTGTCATTTCAGATTTTTTTTTCTCCACACCGTCACTGCATCACAGGCGCCATGCCACACACAGGCGCCTCTCGCCGCCGTAGGTGGGCTCGAGGGCAAGCAGCCCTGTCGTGAGCAACTCCGCTGCCTGACAATGAGGGCACCCGGTTACATTCATGCTGTCTAATCCCCATCGCAGTCAGTTGTAGGTGTGATTGTTCGAGTTGTTACGATACTATTTTAATTGGAAACACAACCCATGTTGGCCGCTTCGAAACGGATCACCAGCAATCCTGAACGTGACCTTATGTCTGCTCGCATTCACCCACCGCAGAGCTGACTTTCCCTTTACAGATTCCTCAGGAGAATCGGTAGAGGAGGCTGCATTCACACGGGAACTGACAGCGGAGTTTTCTGCACTCCTGTCAGTGCCGTGCACAGGAATGTCTGGTGTTTGACCTGCGATGTTCTAATGCACGATTTTATTTATTTAAATTGAGCATTATGATCATGGTACTTTGTACCGTTTTGGTATTATGTTACCAAACGTGTAACAATGCTAGCTTGTCAAATGTCGTGGGTTCAAATACATCGCCAAATTGCTATGTGTGATGCAGTCTCTCCATTCTCAAACATGTGTCAGCTGGTACCGATTGTGGAAATTAAGTTTTTCTATGGCAAAAACTAGTCTCTCCACAGAACAATTTCTGTTGACTTCATGCCAAGTGTGTACTACTTAGAGGGCTTTCCACCAAATGTTGCTTACAATTAGGTACTGCTTCATTGAGGAAAACATGGTACTGCTTTATCAGACCTAATATATTTAATCACGTTTACGAAATTGTACAACTCTACATCAACGTAGAAGGGAAGAAATAAAATAATAAAAATCAAACATTTATTATGTTTTATTTTTATTATTTTATTTGTTCCCTTCTACGTGACTTTACCAAAAGAACCAAGAAGATGAATCCCTGCAGTCCGCAAAGCTTTAAATCGAAATGAATGAATGGAATTTTTAGTTCAGGAGTAGGATTTGACTGTCGTGTGACCAAAGTTCTGCTTTTCTTTGCTGCCCTCCCCACCATATTACAAAATGTCCAGACCTGTGATGAAGTTGTGGCCGAAACGTCGTGATAATTTTATTTTATTATGTTTTATTTGTATTATTTTATTATTTCCCTTCTACGTGACTTCACCGAAAGAACCAAGAAGATTAATCCCTGCAGTCACGAAAGCTTTAAATCGAAAAATGTTACCCACCTTCACAATGGCAAATGTCATTTGGCATTATGTCGGCAGTAAGCTTTCATCCCTGTCTTTGTT